CCATTGCAACAAAAAGAATAAAATACTGAGGAATAAACCTACCTAAGAAGACAAAAGACCTGTATGCAGAAAATTATAAGACACTGAAGAAAGAAATTAAAGATGATACAAACAGATGGAGAGAGATACCATATTCTTGGTTTGGAAGAATCAACATTGTGAAAATGACTATATTACCCAAAGCAATGTACAGATTCAATGCAATCCCTATCAAACAACCAATGGCATTTTTCACAGAACTAGAACAAAAAATTTCACAATTTGTATGGAAACACAAAAGACCTCGAATAGCCAAAGCAATCTTGAGAAAGAAAAACGGAGCTTGAGGAATCAGGCTCCCTGACTTCAGACTGTACTACAAAGCTAGAGTAATCAAGACAGTATGGTACTGGCAAAAAAACAGAAATATAGGTCAACGGAACAGGATAGAAAGCCCAGAGATAAACCCACGCACATGTGGTCACCTAATTTTTGATAAAGGAGGCAAGAATATGCAACAGAGAAAAGACAACCTCTTCAATAAGTGGTGCTGGGAAAACTGGATAGCTACATGTAAAAGAATGAAATTAGAACACTCCCTAACAACATACACAAAAATAAACTCAAAATGGATTAAAGGCCTAAATGTAAGGCCAGACACTATAAAACTCTTAGAGGAAAACATAGGCAGAACACTCAGTGACATAAATCACAGCAAGATCCCTTTTGACCCACCTCCTAGAGAAATGGAAATAAAAACAAAAATAAACAAATGGGACCTAATGAAACTTCAAAGCTTTTGCACAGCAAAGGAAACCATAAACAAGACCAAAAGACAACCCTCAGAATGGGAGAAAATATTTGCAAATGAAGCAACTGACCAAGGATTAATCTCCAAAATATACAAGCAGTTCATGCAGCTCAATATCAAAAAAAACAAACAATACAACGCAAAAATGGGCAGAAGACCTAAAGAGACATTTCTCCAAAGAAGATATACAGATTGCCAACAAACACATGAAAGGATGCTCAACATCACTAATCATTAGAGAAATGCAAATCAAAACTGCAGTGAGGTATCACCTCACATTGGTCAGAATGGACATCATCAAAAAAATCTACAAACAATAAATGCTGGAGAAGGTGTGGAGAAAAGGGAACCCTCTTGCACTGTTGGTGGGAATGTAAATTGATACAGCCACTATGGAGAACAGTATGCAGTTTCCTTAAAAATCAAAAAATAGAACTACCATACGACCCAGCAATCCCACTACTGGGCATATACCCTGAGAAAACCATAATTCAAAAAGAGTCATGTACCAAAATGTTCATTGCAGCTCTATTTACAATAGCCCGGAGATGGAAACAACCTAAGTGTCCATCAACAGATGAATGGATAAAGAAGATGTGGCACATATATACAATGGAATATTGCTCAACCATAAAAAGAAACGAAACTGAGTTATTTGTAGTGAGGTGGATGGACCTAGAGTCTGTCATACAGAGTGAAGTAAGTCACAAAGAGAAAACAAATACCGTATGCTAACACATATATATGGAATCTTTAAAAAAAGAGATTCTGATGAACCCAGGGGCAGGACAGGAATGAAGACGCAGATGTAGAGAATGGACTTGAGGACACGGGGAGGGGGAAGGGTAAGCTGGGATGAAGTGCGGGAGTGGCATGGACATATATACACTACCAAATGTAAAATAGATAGCTAGTGGGAAGCACAGGGAGATCAGCTCGGTGTTTTGTGACCACCTAGAGGGGTGGGATAGACAGGGTGGGAGGGAGACGCAAGATGGAGGGGATATGGGGATATATGTATACATATAGCTGATTCACTTTGTCATACAGCAGAATCTAACATAACATTGTAAAGCAATTACATTCCAATAAAGATGTTAAAAAATAGAAAATTTTTGGTCTAAATTAATATTTTAAACTGCAAATTTCATTTCCACCATTAATTTATGAAAAGGGTCTTTTATTTTCCTTTTAGACAAAGGTCACAAATTGGTTTTTGTCAAAGTGGTACACCATTCCTCTGAGTTTAATTCACTAATAATTTTACTTTATGTTAAAATTATGACCTGAAGACAGAAGCAACTAGAACAAGGTTCATTGTGTGATTGAAGGAAAAGGAGGGACACAAAGTCAAGTTAAGGACAGAAAAGCTCATCTTCTATCTCTTAGCTAGTAACATTGCCTGCTTGGAATTCCCCTGCATCCCACTGGATGTGAAATCTGAGACTGGTCTTCAACTTCCCATCTGAGATACAGTTCTGATCCTGAGTGTTTAACATCCTAACTTCCTAATTTGAGTTGAATACTTTTAACTGTAATATTAGTAGGTGAAATTCTGAAGCACCGTCAGGAAAAGTTTTGACCATTTGCAAAACTGTAAGTGATTTATTTAAGATATAAAGCAGGTAAGTCTGGATCCAGAAAAAAAGCATAGAAACATGTTATTTCTGCATAGAAAGGAGGATGCTGCATGGTAAAAGGAGCACATCTCAAGTAGAACCTCAAAATTTCTCTTGGTCCATAATGGGAGAGGCTAGAAAGAATGATAAGGCCACCTGTAGGGTCAAATATTTATCCTAATTATATCAGGACACTGTATTCTGAATCCACGCAGGAGACCCCCTCCCTCCCTCACAGGGACTTGTGGCTTGCCCTTGTCACATTTTGGCTCTGCACTCACCAGCTGTGTGACTTTGGGCAAATCCTTTCACCTTTCTGAAATTTGATGTTCTCCTTGTAAAATGGGGATGATATTAATTTATTACAAGTATAAAGAGCTGTGGGAATTTTTCATTCCAGGTGCAGTATGTCTACGTTCCTCACAATAATCTAATGAAGTGCTGTTAACGTCTTCAGCCAAGGATCATCGGAAGCACATCCATGGATGAACAAGTTGGTTGTGTTGTTCATAAACTCACCATGGGGAATCATGGGCATCTCAATATGAAGATGTTGGAACCAAAGAAGCAGAACCTGTTGGTGAGATCTTTTAAGAGATTCCCTGCAAAGAATTAGTTTACACAGTGTGGGGTGGGCTAGGCAAGTCCAAGACCCATAGGGAGGGCTATTGTCAGGAAAGGCAGGCTGGAAATTTCAGCACAGGCTGAAGCTGGAGCCCACAGTGAAATCTCTTCCCCTCGGGGAAACCTCAGGTTTGCTCTTGAGACTTTTCACCTGATTCGTCCAGCCTCACCTAGATTATCTAGAATAATGTCTCTTACATAATGTCAGCTGATTTTGGACCTTAATCACATCTATAAGATAACTTCAGAGCAACACCTAGGTTAACGTTTGAGTGAATAACTGAGGACCATAGCCTAGGCAACACATGAAACAGACCCTTAAACTATTATAGGATTTGGGCTTGTGTTAGGTGATCTTGAGGAGGATTTAAGAAACAGAGACTTTGTTCTTAATTGGATTCTGTCAAGAAGTGGGTGGTGAAGTGGGGTAATTCTGTAATCGGGCATCTTAATAAATCTTCCCTAGGAGGAAGGAAGATTATACTGGGGCTAAAGCTGTAATTAGGAAAGAAGCAGAGGTCATTCATATTATCTAGGGGAGAAGTACGCTTGGTCATTTTTGTGATTTGGACACAGTTCATGTTTTGTCTGTGTTGAGACATGATTACTGAGTGGCCTTGTTTTCTGCTTTGATAGTCAAAGCAGAAAGGCTGATGGTCACAGAATGGCTGTCTGATGCTGTTGCTATACGACGTTGCTTATGTTCAGCAAGAAAACACCAAAACCTAGCTATGAGTCACAGGCCAGCTCCTGGCAACACCAAGGCCTAATTAATAGTCGCAGGCAGCTCCCAGATGCCAGGGCTTTTTCTGTCTCACTCTTCTTTATAGTCTTTGTCACTGTGAGGAAAGACAGTGCTGAGAAACTGGGGGCCATCTAACAGGGACAGGGGGATTGATTCTAAATGGAACCCCATTAACCTGTGGTTTCCATAACACACAGAAAATCAATTCTTCTGAAAAAATAAGTTCCCCTCTAAAAATTGTCTTTCACTTTAGCTCAGTCCTTAGTCCCTCACAAATACCTGGGGTTTTAATGTGGCAGGATAAAGAATATTAAAATATCCAGTAGATTAAAGGAAGAACATTTTCTAAGTCAGAACAATTCCCTGAATTCTACCCTCAATATTTGACTTGACATTCTTAAGTTTAAAAAAATTATACAGCATGCCAGCCAGAGCTTTCTTTAATGTAATCAATGCTCTCCAAATTCCTTTAAAAGTAGATAGGTTCACCAAAATATAGAGCATGACGGGGAAAAAATTCAAATGAAAGATCATGCAGTTACCTTAGGCAGCATTACACGACATTACAAGTACTTTTATTGCCCTGGGTAATAAAAGCTTTTGAGAGTACGAAAAGAATAATTTACTCAACTGGATTCCTCTAAGTAGAAAAGGCAAAGGTACTCCTTGGCTATCACCAGCAGAAATCACTTGGATCAACTCAATATTTAGAGAATTCCATATGCACTATGGAAACAAAGAGAAAGACAGTTAACCCACATAAGGAGGCAAGAGAAATGGGAGGAGGTGGGGCCTGCCAGGGAGGGGGACGAACTCAGGGGAGAGACCCTGGAAGTTATAGCCCAGAATATCCTGTCGGACACCATATTAGTGATGACTTCATCTGTCCACGAGTCTGCTCAGAAATTCCCAGCCCTCTTGTCACCAGCAGGCATACACATATGTGAGAAGACTCTGATTTAATACCCTCCCTCCTTTCATAGAAAACTCCCTCAGGTCCACTCTGAGTGGAGGCCGCCTCAGAACCAAGGGATTTCCCAGCCCCTTCGAGGCCTCTTAGTACAAAGTCTTCATCTGGCAACTAAGGTGTCATCATAGGGGATTTTTCTGATTGGCCAAGTGTGGTTTGGGTGTCTACAGAGTGTGGTTTGGGTGTCTACAGAGTTCCTTCTCAGCTCAGCCCTCATCATTGCTCTGCAACTCAGAACAGCAACTGCTGAGACCACCTTAAAGTAGGATGGTCCTGAACAGAGCTCTGATTCTGGGGACCCTCACCCTGACCATCATGATGAGCCCCTGTGGAGGTGAAGACATTGTGGGTGAGTGCATGGTTGAGGGATGTGGGGACTAGAGTTGGGGAACAGGGAATTGAAGGGAAAAAAAGATAGAGTTTGGCCTAGAAACAATAGCAACTCCTCAAAGCGTTCTCAATATTAAGCAAATCTAAAACTTAGAGTCATTCCTCCTGCAGGAAACCAGAGTCCAGACCCACTCTCTTTGCTACTTGTGCTGTTGCAGAGCTCACCAAGGACACTATTGTGTTTCTGATATTGGATCCAGTGAATATGTCCTGGAGGGCTCTAGGGCATTCATTCATTATTGCCTCAAAGATTAGAAACGTTTCCATAAGTGGATATTTTGTTACTAAAATTTTATGAACTATTGCTCCTAAATTTCTCTGAGTAAATTTTGAAGCTTTTTGTATATTTCTCCTAAAGTGTATCTTGGGGTAAACAGTTCCATGAATTCTGTATACTGTGTAGATACAAAGAAGGGTGACCTTTTCAGTCTCAGATCTACATACATTTTCATGCTGTCATCTCGCACAGGTGGGGAGAGGGTAAGCAAGCCCAGCAGAATGCCTTTACACAAGGCGTTTTACCACAGGGTCCTCACTTAACCTCAGTTACCTCATACATGTCACCTCACAAATAACCAAGTAAAAGACGTGCGTAGAAATGCTTTCTAAGTGATTAAGACACACAAATGTCAAAGATTATTCTTATTTTTTTAGTTTTACCGTTACAAGTGTAGCTTTGCTTTATTTTCTTTAACAAAGTAAGAAATTTCCTTATTTTTATTTTAAAATTGAGAACTTTATGATAAGAAACTTGATGAATCAAATTATATTGTTTTCAAATTGTTAGCCCAAATTACCAGTTCTTTGCCCCATCTAAGGAAGTCCTTCAAGAAGAATGGGCAAGCACAGATTATTTATTTGGTCCCTTAGGCCCCTCTGCCTTTGCTGTCCCCCTCCTTCCACCCTCTTTTCTTACATTCCTTCGTCTTCCTTTCCTTCCAGGATCCATCCCTGGCCCACATCTTTGTTACTTTATAGACATTGAGTGAGTTTGTAAAAACCGAAGTAGAAAGGCCAGGTAGTTCAAAAGGGAAGTGAAATGGAGGGTTACTCTAATCTTCAGCAACTTTGCTAACCATGAATGCTCCCATTCTAATTGTGTGTGGTAGTGGAAGTTTCACGTACTTCTCCAGAGCACTTCTAAATTTTGTTTCTTCAGCGTCACACTAGAGTGTCCTGGTCAGGCTCGACTTCCTCATTGGGCACAGGGGACACAGGCCAAGGGCCTGCAGTGCTTATAGGGCTCCATGAAAGTATTTTATTATTTTAATTAGAAAAAAAAATGAACTTTTAGGGTAGAAGAAAATGTTTTAATTTTTAGTTTAGCCTAGATTATATTTGTCTTTATCCCAGTATGGCCATAAAATATGACTTTTAATATTTTTATGGAGGAAAGCTTGCTTATGCAACAGCGCTTAGGGCTCACAATCATACTGCAGCCCTGGTCACTGCTGATTCTGATTGTCATATAATTCTGCTACCTCTGTGCTTGTCAGTCTTCCCCAAAGTCTCTGTGATCCTCAAGAATAGTAATTGACATTTTGTACTCATTCTTGAACACGCAGCAAGCTAAGTTTGGGGGATGCAAAAATGAAAAGACGTGCTATCTGCCCCATGGAGTGTACTAAGATTAGTAATGCTAAGAAAATGGTGCAGAAAAACAGAAGGAGTATTGCTGAGCAGGGCAATGGATGCAGCTGAGGCTGAAGCTGTAAAAGTGAATTGGTTCCAGTTGGCACAGCAGTGCGATGCTCTTCAGTGCTGGCAACTCAGGACAAGTAGCCGATGAAGAGAATAATTGCATACATCCATGGTTGAAAAGGAGTCAAGAATATTCACTACAGGGATAAGGAGGCTACATTGGAAGGCCTTTTAAGTGATCAACCAAGGGGTCATGCTGGGTAATGATGAGGAATAGATTGACTTGAAAGCAGGACACTGGGATGGAGAGGTTGGAGGTTATAATGTGAGCAAAAATATGTGTAATGAGAGAACTTAGCTAAAAAGTTGGTAACTAAGCCGAAACTTCAAGAATGAACTGGGGCTTCCCTGGTGGCACAGTGGTTAAGAATCCACCTGCCAATTCAGGGCACATGGGTTCGATCCCTGGTCCAGGAAGATTCCACATGCCGTGGAGCAACTAAGCCCGTGCACCACAACTACTGAGCCTGCACTCTAGAGCCCACAAGCCACAACTACTGAAGCCCACGCATCTAGAGCATGTGCTCCACAACAAGAGAAGCCACCACAATGAGAAACCTGATCACCTCAACGAAGAGTAGCCCCCACTGGATGCACCTAGAGAAAGCCCGCACGCAGCAACAAAGACCCAACACAGCCAAAAATAAATAAATTAATTAATTAAATAAATTTTTAAAAAAGAATGAACTGGAGGTGTCCAGGAAATCCTAACAGATAATTTCATTTCAGGGGGAAAAAAAAAAAACAGACCCTGCAAAGACCAAGGAACATGAAAGGATAATGTCATTTGGTTTGATTAATAGCTAAGGTCAGATGAGGATGTTGGATACATCCATACCAGAATTCAGCACAGAACACTGTACTTGCTCCTTTACTCACCTGACTCTCCCGTTAATCAATATTCTCCTTGTTGGCAGAGACCATGCCTGATTGATATTTTACTCTTTGCCTCCCACAATGTCTGAAACCCTGTTGATGCTCAGTAATTGAGGAAGGAAGGAAAGAGAAAATGATAAAAGGCTTGTATGTGTCTGGACAAAATTGTCCAGTCAGGCTTACTTGAGTAGAGTCCAACTGAACCGGTTGCCATTCTGCTTTGGCATCCTCAGAAAAGTATATTGTCCATTTGAAGAAAACGGCAGCACAGTACCTTGAGTCCTCAACAAATACGTGTTGAGTCAGAAAAAGAAGTTTAGTAACCTCCTTAAAGAAAAAAATAGGGGTGGGAAGTAACAGAAATCCAAAATAAAACTTCCATTTCTTACTTCAGAAGCAATCAAGCACTCTCCTTTAAGGATCACTACTGTTAACAAAACAGACAACTTAAAACCATTGTTTATTCTTTATATGTTTTGTAATACTGTCACTGTCCTTGTCATACTCGTTCTTACACCCTGTAACAGTTAGAGGAAACTCTTTTAAAATAATAAGATTCCGTGTGCTTTTCCTTGGTTTAAAAAAAATAAGATGGGGCTTCCCTGGTGACGCAGTGGTTGAGAGTCCGCCTGCTGATGCAGGGGACACAGGTTCGTGCCCCGGTCTGGGAAGATTCCATGTGCCGCGGAGCGGCTGAGCCTGTGAGCCATGGCCGCTGAGCCTGCGCGTCCGGAGCCTGTGCTCCGCAACGGGAGAGGCCACAACAGTGAGAGGCCCGCGTACCACAATCAATCAATCAATCAATCAATCAATAAGAAATGAATCTTGTATAGAAAACGTTCTGCTCTGAGCCAGTCCTGAGGGGAGAGGAACCATAATGAATGTGTTATTAACTGATGAAAGAAGTAAGTGAGAAAGAAAACTTATGAAGCAAAGGGAAGTAAACTAACACCATGATCATTCATTCATTCCCTTCTTTCTTCTTTCTTTCCATTATGATATTTATCACAAGCCTACAATGTGCCAGGTACTGAGCTGGACATGCAGGAAATAGCAGTAAACAGGGCCTGTGAAAAGTCTACCCTTCTGAGCATATGTTATAGTGGAAAGACAGACTGGATTCTAACAGGACAGCTACCAACACTGAGGGCGAAGGAAACAGGTGCTGGGAATTTTGCTTTGAGACTGTGCCAGAGGTGAAGACTACAGTGTTTGAGAGTTGTTTCTTCTGTAACTTTGTTTAACATGGTTCTTTCCTCTCCCTCTGTTTTGCACCTTCCTGCCCCTCACCTTCACTTATCAGCTGACCACGTTGCATCCTATGGCACAACTATCTACCAGTCTTTTGGGCCCTCTGGCCAGTACACCCAAGAATTTGATGGAGATGAGCTGTTTTATGTGGACCTGGAGAAGAAGGAGACTGTCTGGCGGCTGCCTGTGTTTAGCGAATTCGCAGGTTTTGACCCACAGGGTGCCCTGAGAAACATAGCTGTGGCGAAACATAACTTGGATATCCTGATTAAACACTCCAACTTTACCCCTGTTACCAATGGTAGGTGTCCACCATTCTGCCTCTCTTTACTGAAACTATTGTTTCATACCAGGCCTCACTCTCTTGTTCCCTAAGGAGAGATACCCTTCACCACTCTATAAAACTCTCTCCTTTCCAAGGAGTCCCCAGATTTTCTCATAGTAATTACTGGACCCTCATCCTCCCTCTTCTCAAAGATCACATATTTCCATGTAATATAAGGATCCCTACTCCCATAACATATCCCTTGAATCCCACAGACCTCCCTCCTTAACAAGCATGCCCACAGAGAACATGGGGATAAAGCAGAGGCAGTGAATAGCATCTCCCAAGCAAAAGGGAAACAAGAGCTCTTCCACTGTCAGACTGGGAAATGTTGGTGGGAGGGCTCCCCCAGGATGCAATGCAGAACCTCAGGGCAGAGCTATCCTCATTTCACATCAGTGCTGTTTTCTCACCACAGAGGTTCCTGAGGTGACTGTGTTTTCTAAGTTCCCTGTGTTGCTGCGTCAACCCAACACCCTCATCTGTCTTGTGGACAACATCTATCCTCCTGTGATCAACATCACATGGTTGAGGAACGGACACACAGTCAGAGAGGGTGTTTCTGAGATCAGCTTCCTCACGAAGAATGATCTTTCCTTCCTCAAGATCAGTTATCTCACCTTCCTGCCTTCTGATGATGATGTTTATGACTGCAAAGTGGAACACTGGGGCCTGGAGGAGCCACTGCTGAAACACTGGGGTATGTACGAGTTCCACCCCTTTGATACTTTCTCTTCTCTATCAAGTACAGAATGTCCTGCCTTTTAGCCCCTAAATCACATGGTCCAGAGCTTGTTTTCCACACTTCAAGTGTTTCTAAAGATATACTTCCCTCTCTTCCCTAAGCCTGCTGCCCTGAGTCTTTGTAGAATGAACACCACACCTCCTGCCCCATCCCAAACACATGCACATGAACCAACACTCTGTATTCTGAGTTTTACAACTTCACTTTTGCAGAACCTGAGATTCCAACCCCTATGTCAGAGCTGACAGAGACTGTGGTCTGCGCCCTGGGGTTGACTGTGGGCCTTGTAGGCATCGTGGTGGGCACTGTCTTCATCATCCAAGGCCTGCGCTCAGGTGGTCCCTCCAGACACCAAGGGCCCTTGTGAGTTGCTCCCTAGAAGGGAAGGTAAGGATTCAGATTTGTCAGCACTGGAGACAGTATAGGAGGAAAGAAAGTGGGAAGAGGTTTGTGGACTCAAATGTGGTTGAAAGGTTGAGGAGAACTGGGAAAGGTCATGATGATTACACAGAAGGCCCCTAGGACTCATCAGTCTCATGTCTGTCCTGTTGCAGGTGCACTGCCCGTCTACCAGAGCAGAAGAGTGGACATGCTAGGTGACCTAGAACTATCTTCATATAGTTCTTATAGTTCTTCATATAGCTTCATATAGCTTCTCTCCTCTCACCTCTTCTCTGGGACTTATCCCTTAAAGCTCACATATACCTCGGAATTCTCCCCCTGACCACCTGATGATTTTTTTCTGTTCTCAATAGTTACATACCATGGGATCACTGCCGTATTCCACCCAGTTACCTAATCCCTAGTGACCCTGATCCACTATCATCATGGAAGCAATGAATCCTCCTTTTATTGAAACTTTTCCTGTCTTTCATCTCAAGGCTGACTAGGACCTTGTTCCCTTATGCTTTAGGCCCCTTAATTTCGTTTCTCAGATCACGTTTCATGCCCAGTAACACAAGAGCAACCTGTGTAGCCTAATAATATGTTGTTATCTTAGCTGAGATTATTATTTCTCTCTTCCTTCTGTTCCCATTCTTGGCACTGTCACCCACCCCCCTAATTCAGGCATCATTGAAGATAATATATACTCTTCTCCCATGGTGTAGATTTGTTATAGCAGAAATACAAAAACCAAGAAATAAGTCTGTACTCATCTTAATATAGCTTTTAAAAGTTATGACAGAGGCTTCCCTGGTGGCGCAGTGGTTGAGAGTCTGCCTGCTGATGCAGGGGACGTGGGTTCGAGCCCCGGTCCGGGAAGATCCCACATGCCGCGGAGCGGCTGGGCCCGTGAGCCATGGCCGCTGAGCCTGCACGTCTGGAGCCTGTGCTCCGCAATGGGAGAGGCCACAACAATGAGAGGCCTGCGTACCGCAAAAACAAACAAACAAAAAAAATTATTGAGACAATCAGAAATAATTTTAGGTGTGGTAATGGCATTGCTGTTATATTTCTAAAAAGTTGTTATATCTTAGATTTTCATAGTAAAATATTTATCAATGAAATTATATATTGTCTAAGATTATCTTTAAAATAACCCAGTATGCATATAATATTAAATGGGTGGATTTACAAAATTGTCCATGAACTGATCATTTTTAAAACTGGACTGTTGATACATGGTACTATTCTCCCTATTACTGTATATAGTTGAAATGTTCCATAATACAAAGGTTTTTTTAGATATTCCAGGAAAGCCAAAAGAAAAAATAAGCAGAGAAGCATTCTGTTTGAAGTTATTTTGGTTTTTAAGGTTTTCCTTATTTGTATTGCAGTTAAGAAACACTGAGTATCCAAATCCTGTTCTACACCTTAGAACCTCTCAGAAATGTAACCCTAAAGAGTGTGTATACAACAAAGAATAATAGCAAAAGAAAGCAAAGTAATGTTCACTTTATTATTGGTTGGGCTAAACCCCAAACTTTATTAAATATAATTACTAGTTCAATCTATAATGTAAAAATGGTCACTTAGAAGCGATGCTGTGATACATACCATACTACATTCTGAGTGTATTAAAGTAATGTGAAAACAGATACATTTATTGTCTTTGAAGAATTTACATTCCAATAGGAGGAAGCATACATACATGAAACAGTTTCACAAACATCCAAGTACAAACTCTGAAGAATTTATAAAGGAAAAGAACAAGGTAATATGAGAGAGTATTGCACAGGAACCAAGTATAATTTGGTGTTTAGAGAAGGCTTGTATAAATGTCTGAGATGAAACAAGATGGTTTACAGTAAGTGAAGGACAAGGTTAAAGAGGGCAGAGCAAATGTTTGAGAAATCTAACAGTATGAAAGAGAGTATGAGGAACTTCCCTGGTGATTCAGTGGTTAAGAATCTGCCTTCCAATGCAGGGAACGTGGGTTCGATCCCTGGTCGGAGAACTAAGATCCCACATGCCGCAGGGCACGCCGCAACTACTGAGCCCATTTGCCACAACTAGAGAAATCTGCACGCTGCAATGAAGAGCCCGTGCGCCACAATGAAAGATCCCGCATGCCACAACTAAGACCTGATGCAGCCAAATTAATTACTTTTTAAAAAGAGAGTATGACAATAAAATAAAACAAAAATTATTACAGTTTAGTAGAGAAAGTTTATGTAAGAGCAAGCAAGCTATTTCAATTCTTTCTAATTAGTCCTTAGTGAAAAGATACTTCCTCTATAAAAGTAATAATGACGGGCTAAAAAATTGGAAAATGTAATAGGAAGATTTAAAAAATAATAGAATAATATAAAAATTATAATAATAGAATTATTATTATGTAATATAAAAATTAAATCAAGAAAACCTCCTTGAAATTTTCTCCCTGAAAAAGAAGACAAAGAAATGTAATATATGGTAGAAAAGATAAGACACAGAGAATAGACCTGGCAACATCAAGTAACAGAGCTAGAGAGGGATACAGAGAAATGAAGGAGGAAATTTATGAAAACAAGTAAAGGAAAATTTTCCAGATATAAAAGACCTAATTCTTTACATGGAATGGGGACTTTCAGATATTTAGCAAAATTAATGAAAAAAAACTCATTCTTAGATACATTAAAAATTTTTTTAATCATTTTTAAAATTTCAGAATCTCAAGTGTTAAAAGAAGATCATAAAATATCCCAATGAGGGAAACAAAACAAACAGACAACAGACACTGTTAAACCGTCAGATACTTACATCATAAAGATAATGAAAAAGGCCTGGAAGTTCTAAAGGAAAAGTATTTTCTATTAATAAATGTATACCTTTTCAAAATCACAATTAGGCATGAAGAAAGGATAAAATACTGTTAGACATAAAAGAATAAAAAATGTACCTAGCACACATAGCTTTATTGGAAGTTGATTAAGAATATGACTTAGTTAAGTGAGGTTGTTAATCAGGAAACAGGAACGTACTTGGGGAGTGGCATCAGCAACATGGTCGAACAAGATGTCTCTCGTTCATATCCCCCTTTTAACAACAATTTGGTATCCATTCCTGGATAAAGATACCTTTGTGGGAGCTATGGGATCCAACACCATATGCTAAGGAATCCAGGAGGAGTCTTGCCAACCATGCATCAGATAACAAGCATACAGACCTCAGTCATGGCTAGGGACCCTGCAATGGCCCATGAACTGGCTCAGCCCCTCTTAGCTATTATCTGGGAACCCGCAGAGAACAGTCTTAGACAATTACTCATAGGTGAGAGAGCCTTTGTGGAAGTCCAGGTTTCCAGTGGAGAACTTCCAGCACACCACTGGAGCAAAGAAATACAAGTTGGACACACTGGAGAGGGTAGGAGGAACAGCATCACTCCTCCCCAAGGCAGCACAGCTTGGTGCCAAGAGAGACCTTCTCAACTCACGAATTATCCTGTAAGGATAATTGTAAGGAAAGTGAGAGCATGTGAGTGAACACCTGTCTTCCTCAGCTGTGCGGGAAACTGCCATTTCTCTCTCACCCCATCCAGAGTAGTGAGTCATAACTTACGTTACTGGGGGTGAGTAGAGGCCAGCAAAGTGGCAGATAGAACTCTTGGAAGATATGAAAGAGGCGCAGATCCTTCAAGATGTCCACCAACAAGCCACTGGGGATACCTCACCATTGAATCCCATCAGTTTGCCCACAGGCACTCCCAACACCCCATACACCTCACCCACACACCCCCCACACTGTGGCCAGCTCCCTGTGTGCACTCCTGACAGCAGCAAGAGTGAGCTTTGGCAGACAACTAATGAGTAGCACAGAAAGCCAGCCCAAATCTGTAGGCCAGGGAGAGAACATGAACCTGAGCTTCAGCTCCATTCTTGGGAAAACAAAAGGGAAGCTGTCAGCAGCCAGCCTGGTACATTGCAGAATCAAGAGAAGGCATACAAGTTTAAGCATTGTGCCACGAGAGAGCAAGAAGTGTGGTACAGGCATATCCATAAAAGGTCTGAGAGAGTCTCAGAATCCCTAGCAAGACGGACAGAACGTGTTTCTCTCCCAAAGTCAGTTAGTAAAGACTGGAGGAGGTGATTGCTACTTCAAATGCAAAGACAGAAATGAAGGACTTCAAGAAACATGAAAAATCAAGGAAACATGACACACCAAAGAATCAAAATAATCTTCCAGTAACTGACACCAGGACGTGGAGGTCTATAATTTACCCAAAAATGCTCTTTTAAGGAAGCTCAGTGAGCTACAAGAAAACACAGAAAGACAGCTCAATGAAATCAGGGAAACAATACATGAACAAAATTAGAAGTTTAATAGAGAAATAGAAATCTTAAAAAAAAAAACAAATAGAAATTCTGGATATGAAAAGTACAACAAAAAATGCTCTTTCTGCCTGATGGAAAGAAGAGGAAGATTCTTTCATCTTCTTTCCATCAAGTAGAGGAAAGAATCTGTGAATTAGAAGACAGGAACTTTGAAATTATCCACTCAGAACAAAACAAAGAAAAAAGAATGAAAAAGAGTGAATAAAGCCTAGAAGATCTGTAGAATACAATCAAATGTAACCCTCTGTCAATTATTGGAGTCCCAGAAGGAAAAGAGATGGAGAAGGGAACATAAAGCTTATTTAAAGAAACAATGGCAGAATCTAAAAAAGAGTGGATATGTGTATATGTATAACTGATTCACTTTGCTGTACAGCAGAAAGTAACACAACATTGTAAATCAACTATACTCCAATAAAAAATTTTAATGCAAAAAAATAAGTAAATAAATAATAAAATAGCCCTGCCAGTATCACTCTCTTTAAAAAAAGAAAGAAAAGAAATAATCACTGAGAGTTTCCTATATCTGAGGTGAGATTTGGATATCTAAGTTCATGAAGCTCATAGTTAAGAAACAAATTCAACTTAAAGGGCTTCCCTGGTGGTGCAGTAGTTGAGAATCTGCCTGCTAATACAGGGGACACGGGTTCGAGCCCTAGTCTGGGAGGATCCCACATGCCGCGGAGTAACTAGGCCCGTGAGCCACAACTACTGAGCCTGCACGTCTGGAGCCTGTGCTCCGCAACAAGAGAGGCCGTGACAGTGAGAGGCCCGCGCACCGCGATGAAGAGTGGCCCCCTCTTGCCACAACTAGAGAAAGCCCTCGCACAGAAACGAAGACCCAAAACAGCAAAAATAAATTAATAAACTCCAACGCCCAACATCTTCTTAAAAAAAAAAAATTCAACTTAAAGAGATTTTCTCAAAGATGTATTATGATAAAGTTGTAAAAAATCAAAGACAGAGATAATCTTAAAAGCAGCAAGAGAAAAGAAGCTTATAACTTATGAGGGAAACTATAATGCTATCAGATTTCTCAAAAGAAATCTTACGTTTAAGGACAGAAGGTGATGATATATTCAAAATTGCTGAAAGAGTTTGGTACAAGAGGTTGATGAAGGAAGATTATGAACTCACCTCCTCCAATGGACACACCCAGTCTACAGCTATAAATGGAACAATTTCCTCTGGAAAAAAAAAATAACTAAACTAAAAGCTGGCTTAACAACACCTGCACATCAGGCAAATGAGAGGGAAACCACATCAAGGCAAGAGAGGCTGAGTCATTATCTTTCCATAAACCCTTCTCCAGGTACAGCAACCCACAATTGGGAAGGAACTCAAAATCCAGAGCTTCTCCCTGAGGAGCAAGGGGTGTGAGCACCACAATATAGACACCCCAACTTTTAAGACCTGCACCTGAGAGATGAGTCCCCAA